TCCTCCTTGGTCCGCAGCGCTACAAAGTCGTGAATGTCCTCCATTTCTCGTTTGGTAAATATAACCACGAACGGCCTGATCCCTGGCCTGGATGACCTTCTGGAAGGTAGATGAGTTCATCCACATCGTAGATAAGCCCACACTTGGCGGCATCAATCAATTCACCAATATATAGTTCTTCGCGGGCTCTCAGGAATCGTTTCAGAGGCGAAGTTTCATCGCACACATCGGCTAGACGTGGCTGGAAAAGGTTCGGACGGCTTGAAATGCTGTCAATCTGACCCATGGGGGACAAACTGAAATCGTTCATTCCTCGATCCATCTTTTGCACGTAACTTTACCCCACAACTAACCTACGTGCGTTGAGATTAATCATCCCACAACTTGTACTTGTCCCAATACCGCAATCTCGGCAAGCAATGATGATCAGTTTGGTAGCCTCGCCGCCTTCTATTAATGGATGCACACGCCGTGATAACACTTACTTTGTCTCTAACATTGCTTCAACGTTGGTCCACTCATCTCTTGGCTAGCCGCGGTTCTCTGCCTCCATTTAATCAGATATATAGGTAGCGAATACTGTCGCACTATCATCCGTGAGGCAGTGCCTAAAACAGTCTAGTGAGCTCGTCGGCTATGTTGTTGGACTCGTGTCGGAGATGAATTCTATGGTGAAGTCATAGTCGCTTAGTGTGAGTGCCCATCTGAAGACCTTGCCTGCCCTTGTCCACGCTGGTGAGGTACCGCAGGTTGTTGTGGTCTGTCCTGACCGTGAACTGGGAGATGTAGTCTCGCCACTTCTCGATGACCCACTTGACCGTGGCCCACTTGACCGTGGCCCACTTGACCGCGAACAACTCCCGTTCCCTTCGGCATCTCCTTGCGCCTGTTTGAGTACAGCCCCTTCTAACTCGGACGCGTCGGCCTCTATGGTGCATTTGCCATTGTCGGTGCAGCATGACGGTGTTCTGGACGGCGTATCAGTTCGCCGTCCATGTGCTGCGCGCCTTGCTCAAAGAGCCATTTCTGCTTCGCGTGGTTAGTCTCCACCAAGAGTGTCGTAGCTCCCCTTGGTGGATCCAGTGCCGGGGCCTCTCTGTGCCTCGGGGCGCATAGTCTGAGCTCGTCGACGTATACCATCTTGGCGCATAGGGCCATTCTGGTCGGACCTACCGTGGGGCTCAATCATGGCGGCTTCTTCCATGTTGAACGCTACATGCCGGACTGCGGCCGCTACGGAGTCGACTCCGTTAGAATCGCTCCTCGCTGGTGACGTCAGCTTCAGACCACGGCTTGCTGCTGATCCGTGGAACCAACTCGATCCGTGACTTCTCATCGACTCTGGTTGCGGGAACCTCGGCATGTGAGCCCACAGCACCCCCAACCCATATCCAGCAGCTGTTGCCAGTGAGCAGCAGTTCATGGTGGGTAGGGGGGCATCCCTGTTGTCGTTGTGTTCGCGTCGCTATCAAGGCTACGAAGGTACGTATAAAAATTATTGATGTCGTGATGTCCCTGGCCGGAAGGAAGGAGTGAGGCCCCCGTCCACCTACTGCGTCCCATCAGTCGCGGTCAGTCACGTCCCATCATACAAGCCGAACAGACAAGGTGGCCTCGGCCTCGACTAATTTCCCACCCACTCGCAAACGTCATCTCCACATAAGCTTTGCGCACACGTGTGCTCCGTCTTGCCGCCGAATACATCCAGGTAGGGCGAAACAGTTATGCGACGATGGTGGCGGCTAGTCCGGTCCAATCCGCGTTTGACCTTTGATGTCCACGAAATATGTGGGACGGTTGCGCGGTCGTGCAAATTTTTGTCGCCCAAAAAAGGATGAGGACCTTGAAGAGTACGCAGCTGTTGAGGAGGAGTCATTTGATGTGTGAATTGTTCGCGATAGTGGTCAGGGACGGTTCCGAGTCGGGTGGTGAGGAGCTGGAGATGCCGGAGTTATGGGAGCCGTTGCGTTACTCGGAAACGTCGAGTGCGAACGGACAGGATGGATTTTGGGAAGAGGGATTGGAGGGATTGGAGCTGGTAGGTGTGGAGCGGGATGCGCGACTTGATGGGTCGTTTGTGGAGTGGCAGCCGAGGTATCTGGACGGGCTTGACAGCGTGGAGTCAGAGGGGGCTTTGGATTTGGAGGGGGTTTTGGAACTGGACTGGGATGGGGTGGAATTGAACGGGGGTTTGGAAGATGTGAAGTTGGACGATGTGAAGTTGGACAGGGGTCTGGAGACGGTGAAGTGGGTCAATTCACAATGCAGCCCAACGGCGGAAGAGAAAAGAAAGCTACTAGCGAAAGAGAAAGCGAAGTGGTTTTGTGGGGGTACGATGGTAGGTGGTATGGCTGTTGGTCTGACATTAGGAGGTTACATACTGTGGCCTATGATCTCTAGGTCTGTCAATGACGGATATTTGGAAGCGTTGTCTAGTATAAGTCAATGGTTAAATCCGTCGGATTATGGTGTTTCTGCGGAAGTGTGTGCGGAGTTGGGCAACAAGAAAAGCAACTTTACTTTCACGACGCAGACCTTGCCCGATGGGTGTAATGGTGGTTCCGGAGGTCTCATGTGTGCACACGCTACTAGGCATGCCGCTAAGATGATTGAACGTGTAGGTTGTCACATCTTTGAAGATCGGGGATCGATGGTGTCTCTTTGGAACAGTCTCACACAACGTCCAGATGTGATAGGCTGTCAAATCTATTGCCAATCACCACCACAGGATGTAACACAGGATGTAACACAGGATGTAACACAGGATGTAACACTCCCGAACAAGCAGATCTCTTTCGCCACTCTATTACAAGATGTCAATCAGGAAGTCTTTCCTCAATATAGACACCCCAACTGCTCCGGTACAGTCAACGAAGAACGTCGCGACAAGCATTGCTTCTGTCAATTCGCATCCCTAACATGCAATAACACTACCATACATGCCTTCCGCATCACTCCATCCCAGCTGACTGACCGTGTCGTCAATCAAGACCGTAGAAACTGTACGTACCTTTGCTACAAAACACACAACTTACCACCAGTCGATCGTGTCGATGACCATACGGAAAGCTTGACGGGGACTTTTTGACCTAACTGAATTCGATACTAACTGATTCAACACTACACCTAACTCTTACATGGAACTCAACAGTAAGTATGACCATGGGAGCTGTTCACTATCCTTTAGCAGGGGCTGCTTCTGCGACATCGGACACATAAAAAATCCTCGGTTATTCTCATGCGAGCTTTGGTAAGTGTACAGTTGAGAAGAGAGCCGGCGGTGTGGGAGCTGTTCGCTGTGGTGGTGAAGGGTGGCCCCGAGTTGGGCGGCAATTCTGAGTTTGATGTCCATTCTGAGTTTGGTGTCCATTCTGAGTTGCCTAGTAGTTCAGGGCATCCGAGAGAGGAGAGGGCGACAATGGAAGAGCGGCTGGAGTTGCCGGAGGAAGCGCATGTGTCTTTGAGGAGCTACAAATGGAAAGTCTGTTTAGTGGCACGAGAACTGTGGCGAAGGTTTTTTCCACTGGTTAAGGGCGGTGAAGGTGGGAGTAACGTATACGTTGAGTTGAAGGAGGACTTGAACTCCGAGAGAGATGTCTTTAACTATCAGGACGTGAACCAGCACGAGTACCACGGTGGGAGGAAGAAGGGTGGACCTGCACGTGTGCGGTTATGCGACCGGTTGGTATTGAAGGTGGGAGCAACCGCTCTCGGTTTGACTCTAGTTGGTTTTGTAATAAAAGACGTATGGACGCCTTCGGAGTCGTCGCCACCGCGACTGGTTTATTACAATACGAACCATTGTACGCAGTTCGGTAATAGGACGGGAAACTTTACTTTCACACAACAAGTGATGGAAGATGTTTGTCATGGTGGTTCAGGTGGATTGGTGTGTGCTCGCCAAAATAAAACGGGTAAATATGTAGGCTGCCATGTGTTCGAAAACCGGCACGCAATGCTCAGACTTTGGGATAACCTCCTAAAACAATCAGACACGATAGGCTGCGATAAACCTACTGCAACTTCGTTACATTGAACTACACTGGTAGACTACCCCGACAGAATCAGACGAGTGTCTTGCAACTGGATGAGACCCTCCCCTTTAATGGGACCCTCCCCTTTAATGGGACCCTCCCCTTTAATGGTACCCTCCCCTTTAATGGGACCCTCCCCTTTAATGGGACCCTCCC